CAAGGGAGGTTTCTTTTGTTGGTGAGGGGCACTGATTCTAGGGAATTGGATCTTGTTGCTCCAGTTCCCCGATATTAAGGCCTGATGCCTTCCAATCCCCCCCCTCCAGGCGCTGTATAAACCTTCGGTTTTAGCGCATCCCCCTTGATACTAAAAAAAAAATAATTTGTAGTCCAGCAGCCAATCAACTAACGCGCTTCCACATGGATAAATTGCCAACTTTTGTGAAAATTGTTGGTCACTCCCCTGTGCAGACATCCATGAACTAGCTACAAGCAGTATTAGAACCAGGGAAGTGTTTTGGGTATGCCCAAATGAATTAAAAAAACAATCTGTGGACTATAAAATCACCATGTATTAAAAGAAGAATAACATCAAAGCAGCGCCGTCATAGAAAACCTGAAGCATTTCTATAACAGATGGGAAAATAAAAAGTCTGGGCTGGATGGTTGCGGATGCTGTCCTGGCCGACAGTAACTGTATGACTGGGGGTGCGGCCATGTAGTCAGAAACGAAAGGGGGAGGTTCTCCCCGGTAGTCAAAATGTGGGGCTGAAAGCGTTTTGGGAGACGTAACTGTATGCATGAGGAATACAAAAATGGCCTCGGGGGGACAGGAGCTTAGGGGGTAAACAAGTGTAGTCAAGGAAAAGAAAAACCAATATTACAGCAGTAATACCACAGGAGATACAAAAAAGGGGGACCCACTAAAATAGGAAAATTTTACCAGAAACAATTGGTGGGAGCTCCATTTAACTTCCACCTTTTTTAACTCCCACCTTTTCCCATAAATTTGCAACATCTGCCACTTTGCTTCCCTATCCACCTGTCATATCCTTTTAAAAATCCATAAAGCAAAAAAAACTTCCCTACCTTTACAAAATACTGTTCACATATATCTTCAATGTAAACACTGACACACATCCCCTACCCACTCAAAGCCTCCTTGCTCATCCGCAATTCTACATTCTGTCTTCCCTAAAATTATTTCAATAAAAAAACCCCTACCTACACTTTTCCGGGTATATCTAAACTTTTCCTCTATAATTTTTACAATCACTTTTTTTCCCCTTTCCCTTTATATTTTAAACTATGTAAAATAATTGTCCTTATGTGAAACCGTGCCTAAGTAATTTTACTAAAAATAGGGGAATACATAATAGGCCCGGCTATCGGGCGGGTGTAACTCACCCCAGCCATATACATCTATAAAATCCCATTTTTGGCTGTTTAAACATTAAATACAATACAGTATTATTTTTTTTGTTATTTAATTGGGTAAGCAACAATGGGAATTAAACATTTACATAGTAATTACAGTACACATAAAAATAGATACTGTAACAGGGCGGGCCTTTTCCCCCTCATCAGAAAAATTTTTTTTTTTTTATGACGCTTTGCTCCTCTTAAAAAATTTAAGTTCAGTTTTTTTCTTTTGAGTACAATACTTTTCCCCCATTTTCATTTATTTATCCCAGTACATTAACCACTCTTTACATCAATTTATTATTTTTCAATCATTTGTATTGCTGCGAATAGCACCCATTTTTTACTAATTTTCTTATTTAACAAGTCAACAGGTGTTGATTTTTAACGGGAAGGTATAAAAAGTAAAGTTTTAATAGTTTTTCTATAATTACTTTTAAATAATAAACTTTGGTATGGTAAAGAAAAGTTGTAATCCAGCATAAACTTACAGGGGAAATGGCTATGTGAAAAAATAAACCTCGACCAATAAAGGTTATGCTAATATATAACACCCCAAAAATGATGTTACTGAAAAACAATTTAAAACATATATAAGGTACTCCCATGTTTTTATGACGTAAAAATAATTTAATGGGAGGGAAGCGTAATTCAGATATAGTATTTGTATACTTTCAGATGCTTGGTTCTGCCCTTTCCTTATGGTCCCTTGTGGGGCTTTTTTCATTCTACAGAGAAGTATCATTTTTGGGAAGTTATTAATTTTGTGCACACACTTTTTATTTGTCTAACACCTATTTTTTAACCTTATAGGGGGCACAGTTTTAATTGCTTAAGTTGTATTTTTAAAACATAAACTACAAAATTTTTTTTTTGCTAGCACTGTGAAACCACAAAAAAAGCTGTTAGGGGAGAGGGTCTGCTTAGGCAAAAATCCTTTTTAGGACGGTAACGCTGCGCAGACTGCCAAAAGTTCTGTTGGGTTAATGCACGTAATTTACGAATCAAATTGTAAACTGGCATACCAAGAATAAACTACGTAAATTTTAAAAAAATTTGGGATGAAAGATTTAAAACAGATTTTGGGGGGAGAGAGTATGGAGGAGGTGAACGATTCAAAATTTTGGGGGTGGACGTGTCAGCGGATGGGTCTAGAAAGATAGTGAACAAGAATTGTGAGGGAAAAAGAGGAGTGTGCACTTTGGAGCTGTGGGGAAAAAAGAACTTGCCTTGGGGGCAAAAGGGGAATTATGAGAGTATAGTTTTTTAAAACCCAAACCCCTTATATGGGTGTAAGCGTGGGGGATGAATTTGCAGCGAGGAGAAGGCGGAGGCGTGGGGATGTCATGTCTGAGGGCAATTTTGGTGTGAAAAAATGCGAGAATTTGTAGTTTTTAAGTTAGGAGGAGGGCGGATTACCAAAACTGTTGTCCAAGGGCTGAGGGAAGGGGTTTTTTAGGTGGTTGACATGAGAGAGAATGGGGCGAAACAAATGACTTCAGATGTATCAGTCCCGTAGTGGAAGAAGGCGGGGAAGGGTCGGCCTAGGAAGGGTTGGAGGGGGGGGGTAAAGGAGGTTTTGTGTGCGAGGGGCTTGGACTTCCAGCAGGCATGCGTGAGCGTGTTTGATAGGAGTGAATGGAGACAAAGGGGTTTTTAATACTTGACGTGCTGTTGGAGGTGAGCAAAGTAACATTTATGAAGGGATTCGGGGAAACCGGCGGGCCGGGACTTGAGTCCTGGAGATGGGAAGTACAGTGCCTGCACTCTGAAGGAGGGGTGTTAATGTTGCAGTTTAAAAACTGTAGTGTAAAGCACCCTTCTGGCAAGACAGTGATGGAGTGAATGATGGTGAAAGTTTTTCTTTTTCGGGCCACCCTGCCTTGGTGGGAATCGGCCGGTGTGATAATAAATAATATAATATAATATTACAATATGGTTCAGTAAATTACAGTGCATTACAAAAAAATAAGAGTTAAAAGTGCAGTACAGTAGAGTATAGTAATTTTTCTTACCTTTTCTGGTGGACAGATGAGCTTACAGCTAGAGTGCTATGCTGTCTAGTAGTGACTCAGATTAACTTTTTTCTGACTCAGAGGAGCTGTAAAGCTGTGGCAGTAACATCACAGATGGTGTGAGACATACAAGTAGGTGGTGCAGGAAATGCAGACGGTGTGGGAGACTTAAATGGTTCAGCAGATGGAGATGGTTGAGTAGACAGAGATGTGCTACCAGTATCTCCATAAGTTTTTTTGTGTTAATCAAGCCATCTCTTGGTATTATTACTTGCTTTAGAGGCCATTGTTAATATTTTATAGGGTACTTTAATAAAGTAATGATAAACACTACAAACCCAGGGAAACTTACATGAGCATACATGGATACATCAACTAACTGACATGGGTTGAGATGCTTATCCAGATATGATGAAAGCAAACAGCGAGAATGCGTGACCACTCCCGACCACAATCCTCCTCCCTCCACCGTCCATGTAATGGCATATTTTATTCATTATAGAGTCTATAGCAGGTTTTTATGTTATTTATATAGTTATTATGTCATATTAGATGAATTGTGACAGATAAATAAGCCGTAGAGTTGATATTAGGGTTATTTTGTCATGCCTCCTTGGAGCAGGAATTCAGCTGGAACGAATTAATTGCATTTCAATTAATTTAAATGAGGAAAATTGACCCAGCATACGAACAAATCAAGATATGAACAAGTCCACAGAACGGATTAAATTCGTAACCCGAGGTTCCACTGTACTACCATATGTTATTAAATGTTCCTTCATTGATTTAATGACCATAATTGAAGGCTGCTCCTCTGTGGAATTAAGGCATTATTTTATACATATTTTACAGTATGTACAAGCTATCGACACCTCAAAATAAATAATTATATCTTGTGCAGTTTGTTGTTTTGGGAGATATTAACAAAAATAGTTCCTTTATTTTGGGTCAGATGCTGCATCGGGGCCATTCAGCAATTAGTATCAAGTCATTCGGCATGCCTTACCAATGACAGCAAAGATAAACAAAGGCATGCCATTTTTATTTCTGCTGATAATGGAGCCAGGTTATGTTACATCGAGATATTTTAGGTTATGTTAGGTTACATTAGGGTTTTCCTCGTCTTCAAGAGGTGGCTGGACAGGCATCTAAAGTCAGTACCTGACCAGCTGGGCTGTGGTTCGTACATTGGATTGTGTGCGGCTGCCATTAACAGCCTGGTTGATCAGACTGATCCACTGCGAGGTCTGGTCATGGACTGGGCCATGGGGGGCATTGATTCCTGGAACACCCTCCAGGTATACTCCAAGTACTGGCAAAACTTAATATTGGACATTTTAAACTATACACCAAGGAGCAACATTTGAATACCATTTTGATTTTTAAAAATAATTGAATTATAGAGTTGTTTTACTAAATACAGTACAGCACATACAGATTTAAATGTTTTGTACCTTGTTATTTGATGTTCCTTTATTAATTTCATAATAATAGTAATATTTTAGCAAAATAGGAGTTTAATTATTGAAAAATAGGCCTAAGCCTTGAGCTCCAGGAATATAATCCTGTATGTCCCACCTTATATTAACTTGACTTACAATTTTATGACTCATTATCTGGATGCACTAAGTCTATGACTTAGTGCATCCAGACAATTCAAGGTATGACTGTATTTAACGAAGATACACCTAATTAACAATGGGCCAAAAGGCTGTTCATGTCTCAGGTCAGTGCTCTCAGCTTAGTACAGATACCATGGACATGAAATGCATATGTTGCATAAGTGAGGAACTCCTGTTATTTAATATATTTTATACATCTATTGATTTGCATGAAATAACTTCCTTAGCTTTTAACTAAACAACAGGATTATTAAGATTCTTAAAAAATAAACATACAAATAACATGCTGGTTATGATTTATGTGACTGCTAGCTTTAAATGGGTAAAGAAATTTTTTAACACAATTGAATGTTTTATTAAAAAAATCACAGTACATTTCTTTTAAAAAATGCCTCGGTATTCTAAACCTACGAATAAATACAAATTCAGTAGCTGATATATGCCAATTTATTCACAGTTCACTTGCGTCCATTGACAATATGCAGATTTAGGTTTGGCATTAGTAGCAGCAGTGGAAGTTCAGGGTTCATACAAGTCTTGGGAAATGGGGAAAGTCATGTTACACTGTTTAGAAAATCAAATCTTGAATATCATTGAAAAATCATTAATATTTGTTAGTCATGGTAATTTATGAAATTTGACAACTGAACATACAATTTTATTTTCAGTTGTATTGTACAGGTTGAATAAGAATAAGTATTTGGAAAATTAAATGCACACAATGCATAAAGTATATTCTAATACAGCTTCAGAGCACTATAAATCCAGCTTATATTGCTCATATATATAGAGAAGTCTGACCCCTCCAAAACAAAAAATTATATCCTGTAAAATAATTCAATACAGCACTGCAGAATATTTACATACCATATGTGCCAGCATTCAAGTCATCCCGGCATGTGTTGACCCCTAAAATTTTTAGGTGTTAATTCAGGTTCTGGCCTATATTTGCCCCATAGGTTGACCCCTCTCTTCCTCCATGTTTGACTCTACATACTGTCATAATTTCCACAACCTAATTGTTCATTCTACCTTGTCTTTGTTATAGTAACTATAAAGTCCCAGATTATTGCTATAATTTTTGTTGTATGACTGCTGTAAATATCATGTACAACCAACCACCATAACAAACACCAGGTCTCTACCCATGGAAAGCCTAATAAGATAAGATAAGATAAGATTTCGTTCGGATTTTTAACCCCGGAGGGTTAGCCACCCAGGATAACCCAAGAAAGTCAGTGCGTCATCGAGGACTGTCTAACTTATTTCCATTGGGGTCCTTAATCTTGTCCCCCAGGATGCGACCCACACCAGTCGACTAACACCCAGGTACCTATTTGCTGCTAGGTGAACAGGACAACAGGTGTAAGGAAACGTGTCGGAATGTTTCCACCCGCCGGGAATCGAACCCGGGCCCTCCGTGTGTGAAGCGGGAGCTTTAGCCACCAGGCCTCAGATAGCTGTTGTCCAGTTTGTGTTTATGCTTGTGACAGAACAAATGTCTTCGCTCCTTGTATTTTAGGTATTATTTTTAGGTATTCTTTTTACTAAACACATGTCTTGGCAACAAAATTTAAACAGGTAAAAAGTAACAAATAAAACTGTGGTATAAGATACAGAGTAGCATGATAACATCAGTTGGCTAGCAGTGTCACTGCCCTCCTTCAGGAATGTGCCATGCTCTTATTTTCACCCCTGCCATGTATTGGCAACTTTTATACTTGGCATATTAGTTGACCCCTAGTGATGATAAGTCACTATGACACTAGAGGATCACCATATGATCGTAAGTAACCTGCTATACTATTTTGACTCTAAATAATAAAGTAAATCTTGAATAGTATGCTTCTTTTCATCCCAAGCATAATTATATTGTACCTTTATATACAACTGGAGCAGATAGGCAGTTGCTGAGATATTCAGATCGACAAAACTCATATGGAAATGTGTTTGATTTTAATGGGATGAACCCTGAACTCTGTTCAACTTCACACAATAACAAATGTGCTTAACAAATTGCAGGTTAAGAAAGTTTTAATGTCTACTCTATGGGGGCATGGTATATGGTGTCTGTTACACCACTGTGTGCTATAATGGTGAGGAGAGGTTAATGGTAACCATGGTAGCCATAATGTGAATGTGTGTCTACAAATTTGCTAGCATCTCCAATCTTGGGTGCCTTGATAGATAGGTTAGTGTTGCCCACTTTGTATACCTTGGTCATGTCTGCTAATAGATAGATGTCGAGTAGTGGATGCTTCTTTGGTTCACCATAGCTGTAATGGTCATGCCCATCATAACTGTAGCCACCAACTTGGCTGTAATAAGGGGCTTCAGCATAGGAACTACGCTCAAGTGGTTGCTTATTGTCTACTGGGAGCCTGGATGCTTCAGTTGGGGTCAGTTTGTTGTTATTTGTAATTGTATTTAAATGTTCATTAAGTAACCTTTGCCTAAGCTTTTGCTTCATTTGTGAAGGCAGATTGGCGAAGAGAGAAGGATTAATTTTTGTAGAAGTAGTAGTTGTGAAAGGTAATTCTTTCTCTTCAGTGTCATGTGTGTTCAAAGGGCCTGTGTCCATTCTGGATGTAGCAATAGAAAGTGCCTGTCTTTGGGCTCCTGGTGGTATGAACCGTGGTTTATTGTTCATTTGACTTCTGAGTGTCTCCTGTACTGTTGGAGAAAGGTTATGCAAAATAGATGGGAGAGGCTCACCTTTATCACCAGGAGAGCTCTGGGAAGAATCCTGAAGACTATTTGGTAGCTGTACTGATTTTTTTTGCTGGTAATGAATGGGCTTTGGAAGCGGTATGGTGACAGCGCCAAATATACCATCATTATTATTGCGTCCCTGTTGCTTCACCACTAAATTGATGTACTCTGGGTTATTTGTGGGTGGGGTGGGCTGCAGCTGCTGTGGCACCTGCTGCTGCTTCTCTTCTGGGTAACCTAGCAGCCGTGAAAACAACCCAGACAGGGTGGCACCAAATCCTCCAGGAGGAGGTTGTGTTACAGGTTGTAATGTTGGCTGCACAATAGGTTGAATAATGGGCTGAGAAGTTAGGTATTGTGTCAGTGGATGTGCTCCAGAATTTGTAGGAGATTGTTGTTGGAATGCCCGTATCAGAGACTGCTGGAGGGCATTAACATTAGGCTGATGCTTACTGAGAGCTGATGCTGTTGGCACAGTTGGTTGGATGGTGGTAGGCAATTTGGCACCTGAACCAGCCAAAAACGATAAGACTTCTTGTCCTCTGTGTGGATTTTGCTCTTTCTCATTTTGCTTTAGGAAATTATTAGTATTTGTACTTGGTGGCAATTCAGCAGCAGATGGTTGTGCTGTTTGTTCTGCTATAGCTAAAATATCTTGGATATTGTATGACTGACCTGGTTTGGGAGTTATGTAAATGTTACCTTCTGAATCAGTACGTACCAGTGATCCCCTAATTTGTTGTGCTGGAAGTTTGGTAGGAATTGCTGGCTGAGTTGCTGCTTTTTGAGTTGAGTCTTGCTGATTAAGGAAGACAGAAGCTTCATGATTGGACACACTGTTTTTATTGTGGTCCGAAGTGACTTTTGCGCTAGGGAAAGGATTATTACTAATGGGTGCACTTGGTGTTGAGATTGCTTCTAACCCATGAGTTTTAGTAGGTATGGAAGCTGAAGTCTTTTTGGAAAGTACAGATTGGGAAAGAGCAAGAGTTGGATCTATCACTGGAGTGGAGGATAAGGAATTTGTTGTCCCATCAGGTGGCCCAAAGAGCAGCTCATTCACACTCTCTTCATTGAGCTGTGATAAAGAAGTTAAAATTTCATTAAGGGAGACAACATGGACTATTCCCTGCTCATCCTGCACCATGTACACTTCATTTTCACTCTCAGTAACATTCTTAATGGAGCCTGTGTGTCTCACTGATCTTGGAATATTATTACTCGTTGTAGTGCCTAGTAAGACAGGTTTTGACTGAGGAAGAACAGAGTCATTCTCAGTCAGTTTGGAGGGTGGCAAGGGGGAGAAAATCCTGCGGTTAGACTCAACAGCAGCAACATTTTGTTGAGGAGGCAGTAGGAGCTCAGTTAGTGTTTTCTCATCAAGATGGCCAAGGGAAGTGACAATATCATTAATAGTAACAATATGCTGCTGTCCTTTTTCATCTGTCACTAGAAGCAGTTCATCATTATTGGGTGAGGCTTGTTGTATGGCTGCAGCCTGAGCCAAATTTGTTGGTGGTAGTGTGGTGGGTGCTTTGTCATCATGGGACATGTAGTTTGACCACTCCTTAAGGTCTTCAAGGATGTGGTCATCAATGGTCTTGAAGACGGCTTCAATAAGTGTGGGTCGGCGAGTGGTGGTGGTGGTATCGCGTGTTGGTCGTCCATCATTTCCCTGGCGTGGTTTGTTGCTGTCCATGAAGGTGTGGAAAAGGAAGTCAAGAGTACGCCTCTCAGCTGCCTGAGGGTTCTCGTCTTTCGGTTGAGGCGGCGGTGGCTTGTAGTTTTCATCATCTGTGTCTACATAAACATAGTCAGAATTGCCAAAAAAACTGCTGTCATAGTCATCATTATAGTTATTTTTGTTATCTGCTTTCTGGACAGTATGTTGTGAAGTCTTTCTAGGGAGAGCACCCATCACTTCTGCCCATGTTGGTCCTCGTGCTTCTGGTTTTGCCTCCACCATCCACACGCCCCACACCACCATCAGCACTTTCACCCACCACATGTCTGTAAGAGAGAAAATTATTGGTAAGTATGAAATACAGTACATTATATTTGCATTATTAATATGTAGTAAACACTGTCTCTTGAGCTTTTGTTGTGCATGCTGTGAACTTAACAGTGGAACCTCAAATATCGAACTTTCTTTAGTCCAGAAGGCTGTTTGAGTGCCTTTACCAAATTAATTTATTCCCATGAGGAATAATGTAAATTAGGTTAGTCCATTTCAGACCCTCAAAAATACACTTATAAAAGCACTTACAAAAATAAACTTACATAATTGGTTGTGTTGGGAGCAGTTCGATTTTTGAGGTTCCACTGTATTTGTTATTTTACAGTTTTGGTGCAGGTTTTTTTTTTTTTGTGAGATAAGGCATTATGGGTTCAAAGAAGGATAAAGAGATAAAAGCAGAAAGAAAAGTTGTTAAAATCACTAAGTTTAAAAAAAGAAGTCATTAGAAAGTATGAAGAAGATAGGCTCCACATGGCTGATATAGCAAAACTTTCTGGTAAATCAAAGTCTACCATTAGCACAATACTGGGCCAGAGGGAAAAAAAAAATAAAGCAGCTGGCCTTGCAAAAGTGATATCAAGCAAAGGCAACAAATTACTGAGGAGGTTGAAAAGCTCTTGTTGATTTGGATAAACGAAAAACAGTCACACAGTGATGGTGTTTCAAAGACCATTATTTGTGAAAAGTGAGGCAGTTGCAAGATTCCCTCCTGAAAAAGAACCCCAGAACAAGTGCTGAAATTCAATCCTTCAAGGCTAGTAGGGGTTGGTTTGATAATTAGGCATGGGGAGGCTGCCAGTGCTGACAAAGTGGCTGTCGATGCTACTGAATTCCAAGAGTATGTAGAGGCTGAGGGGTTTGTCCCCCAACAAGTGTATAACTGTGACAAGACAGGCCTCTTCTGGAAGAAAATACCCAAGAGGACCTACATAACTGAATAGGAAAAGTCAATGACAGGACATAAGCCAATGAAAGACAGGCTCACTCTGTTACTGTGTGGAAACTGAAGCCCTTACTTGTTTATCATTCCAAAAATCTACAAGTTTTTAAGAACAATGTTATGAAAAATAAATTGGCCGTAATGTGGAAGGCCATCACAAAAGCTTGGGTAAAAAGACAATTTTTTGTTAAGTGAGTTCATGTTGTCTTTGCTCCCACTGTCAAAAAGTACCTCATTAAAAAACAATTGCCACTCAGATCCCTTTTACTTATGGATAATGCTCCTGCTCACCCTCCAAGCTTGGAAAATGAGTTGCTGGAGGCATTCAGTTTTATAACTGTGAAGTTCTTGCCTCCTATCACCACTCCTCTCATCCAGCCCATGGACCAGCAGGTCATTTCTAACTTCAAGAAACTACCAAAGAACTTTTTGAAAAGTGCTTTGAAATCACTTCAGAAACAAACTTAACCCTCAGGGAGTTCCCGAAGGACCATTTCAATATCCTCACCTGTTTGAGGCTTATAGACAAAGCCTGGGGTAATGTGTCTTCCAGGACCATGCAGTCAGCATGGAATAAATTGTAGCCTGGCTTTGTGACAGCCAGGGATTTTGAAGGCTTTGAAGATGAGCCTGAGTGGGTAGAGGATATTCTGTCCCTGGGGAAGACCTTGGGTTTAGAGGTGGAGATTAGGTTCTGGACTACTGCTGTACAGCAAAAATCTCTGTAAAGTGAAACATAGTTTTTTCCCTTTCAGATGCATATAAAACCCTGATAACATGTTTACACTACCATATATTAAGTGAGCAATAGAGCTAGGCACAAAAAATGCATATATGTACAGTACACACATTACTTACCTTAAAATATTTTTGTCCTTAGCTTATAGTTTGTGGTGAATATGTTTTTTTAGGAAGTCTGAATAAATGAAGAATGGGTATGTGCAATTGAAATCTGCTGCGTTAGTGAAATGCCTTAAAGTGAAGTGCTGTAAAGTGAAGCCTGTCTATATATGTACATACAGGTTCACACAACTGATGCCTGCCACTCTGGCTGTCAGTGCTGGGTCACGCCGCCACCCACCACTGAGATGACTGACGCTCACACTCGACGAAAAAACTTCAGTTTTAGGAACTTTTCAAATTTCAGAATTTCAGATAAAGGGATATGGACGTATGTGTATAATAAAAAGAACAGATTTCCTTAGTCATACAAATATTTACATCAGTGTTCAGTTGTTTTAGCTTGCGTTCATTATCACTCTCCTGCACCAGTGTCTAGCAGTGGTCAGCCATCAAATTAAGTCAGGTTTCCACTGCTATCTCTTCCCCATGATGGCTTTGTCTTGATGAAATCGTTCAATGTGGGGTTCTGTTTCAAAGAAACTGTATTTTTTGGAGCAAAACTAAGTTCAGATTTGGATTCAGTGTCCTTAAATTAGAAACACATTTATAAAAATGAACTGAAACCTTGTTGATTAGTGTTGTTATTCCTAGCTGAATATTGCCTACATGTGTTGCAGTCATTGCAAATCACGACTGATTTGTTATGTTATTGTAATAAACAGTAACCTGTCATTTAGAGTGTGGGTTATGTTCTTGAGAAGTAGCATCAAATAAAAAAATAGAGTTAAATGATGTGGCAAACATATGGAAAAACATAAGAGTACTGTTCTGGACTCCATCAAAATTCCAAAATAAGAATAAAAACAAATTTCTACAGTTTACCCTAAATTACATTGTTAGTAATTACTCAAGATATTTGAAGAGTGTGGTGAGGGTTAACGTGGGCCTTTAGGGCAGAGTTTGTATGTAGTGAAGTTTATTATCTGACGTACATGTAGGAGGCAGAATCTTGTGCCATTGTCTTCGTGTTGGGGTCTATAGCTCTATGGGCAACTTATGCAGTACTGGGCTGTCAGCACGTAAATATCAGTAAAAATAAAAACCACATTCCCTTGCCATATTGTATTAGCCCTTAAACTGTCCAAGCAGATCTATGTTCACATGCGTAGCGCTCCAAAAGTAGTTTTCCTTTTTTTTTACTTATTTTCAAAAACGTAGATCAAAGTTTTTTTACACGTTTTTAAATGTAAAAAAAAGAAAAGATCTACTTTTTTTACATACTTTCAAATGTTGAAAAAACGTATATCTACGTTTGGACAGTTTAAGGGTTAAACATATACACGCCACCCACTTAGATACCCATCAGTTACACAATCCAGGTCAGCATGGGTTTAGAGCAGGTTGCTTCTGCCTGTATGAACTTATAACATCTATTTCAGACAAACATGTTTTAAAGATGAGTACATTTGAGAAAATGTTAACCAAGAAAAAATAAAGGAATTCAGTAATAAAAGTGGTGTGGAAAGCTTTTCTGGGAGATATAAGAGAGGTGCCAACTATGGCTGTTGCTCACAGTAATATTGTGAGACCACAGATTTTTACCAGTACATATACAGTACAGGTGACCATCACTAATCCGACATCATCAGGACCTGTAGGGTGCCGAATTAGTGGTTTTGCCGAATTACAGAGTGGTTAGGTTAGAATACACTTAACCCAATGGCAGTATTTCCACATAAGCAATTTCACCCACTTTACACCCTATTTTTGGCCCATTCCATTGTTCCAGTCTACCAAGCTCATAGCTATTTTGCTAGTATTCCTTCTATTCTGTTAATTGAGTACAATTAGCAGCTACCCAATAAAGTAGTCAGAAATTGGTAATTTGGCCAATTTCACACAAATTTCAAGAGATGCCAATTTCAAAATAGGGTCCAGAATAAACAATGCAGACATTCCTGGCACTAAAATAACATTTTCTCTGCTCATTAATCACGTTTCCAGGCCCCTCTTTTATTACACCTGCTTTCCATTTTAAATTTTTTTCACACAATTATTACAGTAATGCTGACTACTGCATTATTGTAATAATTGTATAAATAATATCAACCCATTTGTGACTGCTTATTAGACTGGGCAGTTGGACACTTACTGGATGGTGACGTCATTTGTTTACTTTTGAACATCAAAAATCAAACATTTCTGCTACTTCGAGCTCAATTTTAAGGTATTTTCTGGCATGAAACCAATCAAAATTATATCTATTTCTGTAATATATCTTCTATTCTATGAAATGAGACCAAAAAACGAGAATACAACAATACGAAAATACACTGCAAAATCACCGTTTTACACCAAAAGCACGGTTGCCATTTTTTCTCATTATGCACTGCGTGCTGCAGGATTTTTTTATGTAGTGCACACTTACCACACAGACCTACTTGTTCATATATAGGCCCAAATTTACTGGTCACAGCTTATCTGAGTGAGCTGAGCTCATGGTGACCGACAGTGGCTTCAAAGCCACCTTATCTTTTATGGACATTGTACGGTGTATGTGCTTTACATAATGAGAAGCATTTCTTTTATTTGTTGGAACCATGGTTAGGGCTAAAAGTGAGCAGGTTATAACAATAAATGGAGAAAAAGGAACTGAAATGAATTGTGCAGCAAGTAGTGCGACCAAACAGTAGTGGCAGGTTGGTGTGGTGATCCCGGAAATGTGAAATTATGCTAGTCAAAATTAGTGCTGGATTACTGATGGAACCGGATTACTGACTGCCGGATTAGTGATGGCTAACCTGTATACAGTGGACCCCCGGATTAAGTCGTCATCGGAATAAGTAACGTTTTTTTTTTGTCAAAATATTGGCTTAGTGAATGTCACTGAACTCGGTATAAGTCATTCATCTGGAACATGCCCGCACGGCCTGAGTGGCCCCAACACTCCATGTACAGACAGTGTGCCATTGTTTACCAGACAGTGAGGACGATCCCACATGTTCATACGATACATTTTGTATTATTCCATTCTTTTTAGTGCTTGTAACTGCTAAATAAGCCACCATGAACCCAAAGAAAGCTTCTAGTGCCAGACAGCCCTTTGGTAAAGGGCTGAGAGAGAGGGGAGAATGTGCCTTTTTCAGTGATTCTCCAATATGTACGATACTAAAGCAGCAGAAGTCGATAAAGGCTATAGCGCCAGCCAGCGATAAAGTGTAGCATTAACAGTGTAGCAAGTAAGTTAAGTGATTAATCGATAGAAAAAAGACAGCACGAAACTGACTCCTCCATTGTTGTTGGAGGTATATTGAGCTACTAACACTGCCGCGTCTGTTGCTGTCTTCACCACCAGTATGTAAGGCTTATTCAGTGGCCCTTATACACCCAACAACAAACAACTCTCCACCACTCGTGACATTCTTAATGCAATATTTTATTCATTCTAGAGTATATATCATGTTTCTATGTTATTAATATTGTTTGTGTTATATTAGATGAATTGTGCTAGATAAATAAGCCATAGAGCTGATATTAGTGTCATATTGAAGGACTGTCTTGTCCTGTCTCCCAACACAGTTCCTAACATATGCCAGAAACAGACTTCTCTGGAACACTTTTTTGAGCAACAGGGGTCCAATGACTCTCAAGCTGGTCCTAGTGGCATTAAAAAACAAAGAAGGGAAGTAACCCAGGATAAGGACTTGCTACCTGAAGTCTTTATGGAAGGGGATTCCCCTTCCAAACAATTGTAAACACCTCCATCCTCTCCCCTCCTCCCATCTTCCATACATCACCATGTCTTCAGTAAAGGTAAGTGTGATGTCATTATTGTTTTATTCTTCATGTATCATTGTTTTCTGTGTAGGTAAATGTATATTTCATGTAGAAAACATTTTTTAATACTTTTGGGTGTCTGAAATGGATTAATTGGATTTCCATTATTTCTTATGGGGAAAATTAATTCGGAATAAGTTAGATTCGGGATAAGTCACTCTCTCTGGAACGGATCAGTTACATAATCTGGGGGTCCACTGTATGTGAAGTTATCATTTGACCAAATTTCTTAATAATAACAAGCTATATTATGATGTCCTCTTTAAAATTTAGTAAGGGAATGTTTATAGATCTTCTTAATACAGTATAGCATTTGACATTAAAATCAATATCATAGGAATCTTGTATGTTAAAATCCAGAGACAACAGAAACCTTGCAACATTTGTTCCTCGTGAGAAGCCAAACTTAAGATCACTGCTAATATCTTAGGCTTCCTGTAAGAGTTGTCACTTCCATCATCCAGAGAAGTTGCCTTATATTGGTTGGCTGAGTGATGCCCTGTGTTGGTTGGCTGGGTGATGCCCTGTGTTGGTTGACTGGGTGAGCGGACTATGTTGGTTGGCTGGGTGAGTGGACTGTGTTGGTTGGCTGGGTAAATGGGCTGTGTTGGTTGGCTGAGTAAGTGGGCTGGGGGGATGTTGATGAAGAGTCTTTGGACAGGAGAACCCAGAATCAGGAGGAAGATCAAATACAGCCTCCCTCACAACCCCCTACAGAAGCCCCCCAACCAGGACTACCCCAATGCAACCAAACATTCTAACCCAAAACACACATGCCATATCCAATGCCCCCACCCACCTCATTACAAACTCCACCCCCACAGCAACCACCCATAGTTCCTTACCAGGTCTCGCACTTCCCCAACCCTAATGTACCCCCCAAACCACAGTCTTAGAAAAGAAGTTGAAGGTGTGGTATACAAATGCAGATGGGAAAATGAAAAAGTGTGAGGAGTGGCATGAAAGAATCAAGGAG